TGAGGGAGGGAGCCGCACTAGAACGCTCAGTGGCCCGCCTGGCGTGGCTCGGCCCAGCCCGGCCCGGCCCAGCGTCCCCTTAGTCTGACCACTCATTCTCATCCAGCTCGGAGTCATCATCCGACTCGCTGTACTCCACTGCAATGCGCCGGGAGAGAATGGTGGCCACGTCATTGCCCACGGGCTCCTTCTTGGCCTCCTGTTCCCATTGCTCCTGCACCTTCCGCAGCTGGATACCTGCAGGGAAACAGCAAAGGTGGATGCTCAGCACCTTCTGTAGGTCACATCCAGCCCGTCACCACCTCCCCTGAATCCCATCATTCCCAACAGATGACAGCCACTCGATTGCCAGAGACTCCAGGAAGGAATAAAGGACTCAGGGCCTAGGACTGCCCAGTAACTCTCAAAGGTGCTGGGGTCATCCACAAGGGAACTTCTAAGCTCAGAATAGCATGGCTGGACTGGACCTCAGAAACCACCTGGTCCAAGCCTCTTTAGCTGAAAAGTTCGGTGACTTTCCTGAGGTCACTGGCTCAACGGCAGATCTCTTAGGGCTCAACACCAACATCTCCCACCTCAATGACCCAGGTTCTCCTCTGATGCCTCAGCACGGTGTTGAAGTGACCATGGATTCTTGAAGGCTCTGCCTGGGCACATCCTACCAAGCTCCAATCTGGGTTGGAGTACAGCCCTGGCTAGCACTCAGAGAGCAAACCCAAAGGCCCCAGGAAATATGGATTGTCATCTGCATCAATGGAAGTGGCTTGCCACACTGATGAGATCACAAGTCTATTAGTATTACTATTAAACAACTTACATTTCCATCACCTTAAGGTTCATAAAGCAGGTGACAACACTGACAATTTGCAGTTACATGGGGCCTTAGGTAAGGTCAGCAGGGCACTTTACATATGTTGCCTAATGTGAGCCTCACAACAATCCTGGGAGGTAAGTGCCATGCTGCTCATATCCTTTGTTGTCTTCATTTTACAGATGAGGGAACTCAGGCAGACAGAGGTTAAGTGACTTGCCCAGGGTCACACAGCTGGTGTGCATCCGAGGCCACAGTTGAACTCAGGTCTTCCTGACTCCAGGCTCAGCACTCTATCCACTGCGCCACCTAGCTGTCCGTAGCTGCATTATCTGTACATGATCTCATTTACTGTTTATAACAACTTTGTGATGTGGGGGGGGGAAAGCACGCCCATTTTACAGATGAGGAAACTGAGTCTCAAAGAAGTTAAGTGGTTACATAACTAATAAATATCACAGATAGGCCTGAACCCAGGTCCCTCACGACTACTCTTTCCACTGTACCACTGACCTCAGAGTGCTTGTAAGTCAAGTGCTATGTAACCCTTCAAATGCTATTTTCATTCCCCACACTCCACTAGAGTCTTCTCACGTCTCCTCCCCATGGCATGGAGACCACCCTGGGTCCTTGAAAATTGTTTCCAAGTTATAAAGGGTTAGAGTGAGGGCATCACGAGAGCCTGGCGGGGTTAGAGGTACATTACCAACTCGGCCACAGAGGGATGAATTTTTTGGCCGATCACCTCTTGAAGACCGCAAAATAAGGTGTCCGTGGACACAGTGCCCACATGGATGAAATTGCGGTCAATGGAGATGCCACAAAATGGTCATGTTGTCAAAAATCTCATTAGCTGCTAAGGTCCCTGGGAAATCTCCCTTTCCATACTCTACTCAGTTGCCAGGATGGTGGCCGCAGTGCTCCATTGCTGGATTTCCCAGCCTCTTTCTCTCCATCATACTCACCCCTCCGAATGGCAGCAAGAAGATCACTTCTGGCATCACTCATCGGTATCAACGGGATCTGAGGTTTCCGTGGTTCAGATAGTACAGCACCCGGGGAGGCTGAGTGGGCCGGGGAGGCCGTGGCCATTGGGGGGCCAGGCGGGGGTGGAGGAGGAGCTGCAGGAGGGCCCATGGGGCCAGTCTGCGGGGGAGATACAGAGTATGGGCAGGGTGGGGCTGGGGGTGGGGAGGGTGTGTAGGCAGGATGGGCCAGGGTGGCAGTGGCGGCAGGTGCAAGAGCAGGCGGGGCAGAGATGGGGCTGTCGAAAGCCGTCTGGGCCGAGGGGATCACTGGAGGTGGGGGTGGTGGGGCAGGTGGTACAAAGAAATCGGCCATGGGCACTGGCTGGGACCTGGAAGCAGAAGAAGAGGGAGAAGATTAGGAGATCAGAACTGGGCTTGAATCCGAGTACTTGACCACCCGTGTGCACCCAGACAAGTCATGGTTCCTTTCCGATGGCTCAGTGAGAAGGTCTCTGAGATGATGTTCAGTCAGCCGTTCTAAGGTTCTTTATCACTGGGAGAGAGAGGGCAGAGTCCCTGACCCTTAAGAAGCAACATAAGCCCCAAGGATTCACAGATTCAAACTCTGAAGGCTGCAAGGGTCCTTCGAGCTCATCTAATCCAACCTCTTTGACTCAGAGAAGAGGAAAGTGAGGCCCAGAGAGAGGAGGGGTCCCAAGCACACTGACTAGGCTCCCTGGAAGAGCCTTTCTTCCAGAAAAATTGCCTACTAGGTAATGCTGCTCTTGGCCCAGTGGCCCCAGCCTGTTCTGCTAGTGGGGGCCCATCCTCCTCTCCAGGAGCCCCCATGCCCATCCCCCTCTGTGCCATCAGAGAATCACTGAATGTCTGAGTTCATCGGTCCCCCTCACTTTACAAAAGAGCACACTTCTTCCCAGAGAGGTCAGTAGGAGGGAATTTCTGATCCTTTCCCAAGATACAAATGACCCATAGCTTCAAGTATGACTCCTCTCAGAGAGACAGACGTTTTACTAAGGAATAAAGACTTCAGCTAAAGAGATGCAGCTTGAATAACTCAATCTCAGATGTCTTCCAACAGGCAAGGTGAGATTTGCAGGGACACAGGCCCTCCTGGCAGCTCTGAAATTGTACCCTGTAGGTGATGGTGGATCGGCTTTAGAGAGGAAGCACAGTAGGGCTCCAGTGATGGATTTAGAATCAGAGACAGCTGGGGTTCAATCCCCTGCAAAGCTTACTTAGCTGAGTGACCTCCAGGATGTCACTCGAACTCTCTAAACCTTAGTATACCCATCTGTAAAAGGGGAATAATAATAGTTGTTGTGAGGAACCAGTGAGGTTCATTCATGTAGATAAAGAGTTTGGCTCACTTACAGCACTGTATGATATTACCCCTGACCTCTGGAAGGACCACGGAGGGTCTGGGAAAGATCCACACCCCTCCAGGGGAGCCTTGAGCAGAATGAGCTGAGCTAGAGGAGGGAGGTACAAGCCAATAGCGAAGATGATGGGACCAAGGAGTGTAAGGATGGAAGCCCTTCATCTGCCACTAATAATATGCTGCTATGTGCCCTTGTAAGGCAGCGAGTATGTTTCCAACCCCATTTTACAGATAAGGAATCTGAGGCTGAGAGGAAGCGAGATCTGCCCAAGACCTCATAGTCAGGATTTGAATACAGGCCCCTTAATTCTGTACCCAACACCCAGAAATGTGTTGGGTGCAATCCTAAATTACAACTTTACCCCAAAATATCCTGCTCACCTGCTCCTTGTGAAGCAGGATGTCAAGGTGCTAGGAAGGAATCCAGGTTTCAAAACAGAAAGAGCAAAAGAATTCCTAGGAGTTACTCAGTGTGGCAGGTGGTGAGGACCTTGGCCTTTGGGTCAGGAGGCATCGGCGCACGTCCTCTCGGAAACCATAAGTCACAGACAAGGGGGTGATCTGGGGAGTGGCACTGTACTGGCAGAGGGAGTTTCCACACTGAAAGTTCCCTACACCAATAAAATATGACCCAAAATATGACCAAAATTGTCCAAATACAGGCCATGCCCTAAAATGAGATTATTTTGAAGGAGGTGGAAAAAGTGTACGTGTAATATCATATAAAACATGATATGTACACATATACCTATACATACCCTGAAAACAACAGGTTTTATACAAGCAATATTTGGGGGAAAGTACAGCTTATATTTGGACCAATACAACAGGTCTCAAGAGGCCTTGGGCTATATGGGGCCTCTCCCCAGACCATAAGCAGACCTTTCGTAGAGCTGGGGAGTCAGAGGTAGGGCTGCCATTCTCTACTGCCCTTTGAGGTACTGTCTGTATGTAGTTGCTTGGTGAACAAATTCCCTCCGTCACTGGACTCTTGGTGGTACCACAAACCAGACTCTGAGCTGCCAGAGGCCGGGGTCCCGGACTTGAGCCAAGCAAGGGCCCCTTCCAGTGGCAGCTCAGTTACTACCAATGTGCTGACCTACCTCTCTCCCTTTGAACTGGGCCTGGAAGATGTGGACCAGTAAGGTTCCCTGAAGCTAGAGACCAGCACGTTGTCCATAGTCCCCAAATAACTTGAATATTCTTTGGGCACTGACAAAGGACTAGAGCCTTTGATCTTTCTTGGGGACAATGGCAACAAAGGAGGCCCCAGAGAAGGTTTTCCAGCTTTCCTCTGCTACATAACTGAGCATTAGCCTTGAAGGCTGGGGGCCCAACAGGAACAAGGCTGAACTGAAAGGAATGTTGGTTTGGGCAAAATAAACATGGCAACACCTGCCATTTCTACAGTATCTGAGGATTTACCAAGTTCCCTCCTTATACCAGCCCTGTAAGGCAGGCATGGGCTGCAAAGATTGCTAGTACCAATCTACAGGTGAGGAAACTGAGGCTCAGATCAGTTAAATGACTTTTGAGAATTACACATAAAGTGAATATCAGAGCAAAGGTGAAAAGAACTATCATTAGTTTCTAAACAGAAGCGCTTATATGCATGGCAATGTAGCGACTTGTCCAAGATCTCTCAGGAGTCAACAGTATACAGTCCAGGCAGAACACAGGGCTGGGAATTAGAAGAACTCTATCCGTTGTTTGCTCTGATTCTCACTAGCTCTATGACCTTGGACAAGAGCCCTACCATCCTTGGCCTCAGAGGTTTATAGCCTTTAAGTTCTGAGGGACCTTGGAGATCTGTCAGATGGGTATAACAATAATTGACCTGCCTACTTCATAGGCTATCAGGATGGGGGTGGGGTGGAAGACAGAGAGGAAACAGGTGCTGCTTGTATGGAAGGTGTAAGGGTGTTGAGCAAGAAAGTGGGGGTACCAAGGGTACCAAGAAGCAGGTAAAGTACCAGTGTATGTGGCTGGAAGCCAGCTTGGGTCAGAGGAGCGGCAGTAATTCTAGTGAAGAATTCCGTGTCAGCAGCTGGAGGAGGAGGAAACAGTGAGGCACTCTGGACTAGCCCTGGCCGTCCTTCCTCTGTGTGCTGCTGGGCCATGTGTGGGTGGATGGCTCAGGTCAGGCCCTGGTGCAGAATGAGCAATGGTGACAAATGAGACTCTGCATCGCAAAGGAGCTGAGCTCACCTCTAGGCACCATCTCTTTAGGAATGGGAGCTACCTGGCAACCTGCCATAGGGTTAGTGCGATAAGCCCTTGGGTCACTGACCTCCCTGGTGCCAAGTCCCCGTACCCAAACAAGAGAAAGGCGGGGTAGAAGGTATAGAGCGTGATAGCCTACCCATAGTCCTTCATCAGCTGAGGCCTGGGGCCATTCAGTATCGGATCTGGAGGCTGCGGCACATTAGGCTGTTGGACTCGGCCAAGGCTGTTCTGCCGACTGCCTGGGGCTGTGGGCCGGTAGGTCAGCTCCGGGAGCTGGCTGGGGGCCAGGATGATCTCCTTGTGTTCCATGGGCAGATGAGGAGTGGGTGCCAACACCTGCTGGGCTGGATGGTTGGGGCTGGCTGGGTAGGAGTGATCACCGATGTCTGATGCATAAGACCTAGAGCAAACATGGATAGCGACAGTCGCATCCCAGTGTGAACCATGGGAGCCAGGGGCAAATGGGAAAGAGAGTCAAGGACGGGATGGCTAGCAACAGCATGGGCAGGGGCGGTGCTTCAAAGAGGGAGCCATGGGATCACATGTCATAGGACTGCCAGCTGAACAGGGCCCTCCAAATCACCTTTCCTAATCCTCTCATTTTATAAAGAAGGAAATTGCCACTAACCACACAGCTCTTTCCATAGCCCCACACTGCCTCTCAAGGTATTGTTATTGTCATAGTGTTCCTAGAGATCATCCAGGAAGTTCTAATCTGGCTTCACTTATGTTTGCCTTGGCCATAAAAAAGATGGGGCTGGAGAGCACAGGAGTATACGTCAGGGTGGGGGTCTGGACAAAAACAATGGGCAATAACCACCTTCCACTTTGCCAGAGCCTCCAAAGATGAAGGGCCCTTCCCTGCCATAAATCCCAACCCCCTCAACAGGACTGCGCAGATTCCTGGAGACTGAGCCATTTTCAATCCCTGGAAGTTTTAAAAGGTGGCTAGTATCCTCACATATTGCTGGTGGAATTAAAATGAGTAGGATCATATTGGGAGAGCATCTGGTTGTATGCAATAAGAGTCACCAAGATAATTGTACCCTTTAGCCCAACCATCTCATCACTGGGAATCTGCTCGGAATGTGATCATTTTTAGAGGGAAGAGAGGCTGCAAGTGGGATTTCATCAGGGTGAGGAGCACCGTCCCCTGGCACATCACTTAGAATCTTAGAGAGTTAGCGTGGGGCAGGAAGAGGTTACGTGACTTTCTCACATCCATCCAGCTTGGGGCTGTGAACCCCGGCTCTTTCTCCTCTAAGGCCAGCTTTCTAGCCACTGTACCAAACTGCCTCTTGGGTGTTATTATAAAGGGGAAAAAAAGATGTTAAAATGAACAGCAGCATTTATAGGCAATGCAGAGAACAGGAAACACCCTGAAAGCCCAAATTTTAGGTGAATGATTGAATGGGATAGCAATGTAATGGAATATTCCAATGTGGAAAGAATCTCACGAAGCAACACATTTGGACTTTACCCAAATGAACAGAGAACGGCAAGGGACATGGACGCTGATGTGTCCGTAGTGTACCAGAAGCTTGGTTTTTCAGCATAAGGAGTTGTATGTTTCATTGGTTTTGAAGTGCATTATGAATTCTTTTTTACAACATTTTTTAAAAAGGATGAATGCCTTATGCCTGGGGAAAGGTAGATGAGGTCTTGGGATCTTTTGCTGGCAGGGGGAGAAGGGATTGTTTTAGAAAGGTGTCCGCCTTCTGTGTGCTAGCATCACACATAGTACACTTTTTGCCAATAGAAAAGGGGAAACCAAGGGCTGAGTAGGTAATAATAGGTAACACCTGCCTATTATCTGGAGAGAGCGATCCTTCCGAGGAGGCCATGTGATACGGAAGGAGATGGTGAGAACCTGTTGTCGGGTCGGAACTCTTTGTCATATGCCATCATGCTCCACTCCATCCGCCGATTCCGTGCCTTTCGCACTTTCTTCACCTCCCTGGTGGAGTCCTCCACCAGTCGCTGTTCCTAAGGATCAGCACAAACATGCCTCAGTTTCCCCATGTTGGTCAGCAGAAACCCAACCCAGTCCTGTTTCTTTCCTGCAACCTCTACAGGGCAGCTGAGGCCGTCCAATACATATGAATGACAGTCACCTAGCCACGACACCAAAGCTTTCCTCTCGAAGCAAGCAGGCCGTCAAAGTAAGCACTAGGCCAGGAAGGAACCTGAAGAAAGAGTCCGCTAGACTACCCCACAGCCCCAGGCAGCACAAAAGGAAGAATCGTCCATCTCATAAGAGCCTTTCGATTGGTGTTCTTACCTCCAGGCTCCTCTCTCCAGATCCTGTTATTCCCCTGCTCAAAGACCTTCAGTGGCTCCCTGTTGCCTACATGATTAAGTACAATCCCCTGATCCTAGTATTCAAGGCCCTTGACAATGAGGCTCCAAACTATTCCCCTTCACGTCCACTGTGCTCCAGCCAAACAAGACTGCTCTCTGATTCTTGACCTTGTTTTGCCCTCTCCCCCTTCTGTGCCTTTGCTCATGGCATCTTCCATCTTGGAACAGAGCCCCCCACTGAAGTCTCTCCCTTCCTTTGAGAATTCACTCAGACGCTATCCCCCCTCTACAAGGCCTACGTGAACGCCTTCCTCCTCAGGTTTCTTGAAGCACTTTGCCTGACTCTCCTTTGCATCATGGTAGCTTCTGTGCTTGGCCCTTCCCCAGTGGAGTGTTGGCTTTTTAGAAAAGAGCCTAAGTGGTGTCTAGCATTGTGTGTCCGGCACCCAGCATAAGCACAGGGTTTGTTTCATTGAACCCGACCAGACTGATAATTCTATTCCGTATTCCTGTCCACCAGTGTTGCCACCATCTTCCCAGTGACTCAGGCTCATGGCCCAAGCGTCACCCTTGCTGCCTCTCTCTCTCTCTCTCTGTTTTTGCTTTTTTGGGGGGGAGGCAATCCGGGGTAAGTGACTCGCCCAGGGTCACACAGCTAGTAAGTGCCAAATGTCTGAGGCCAGATTTGAACTCAGGTCCTCCTGAATCCAGGGCCGGTGCCCTATCCACTGTGCCATGTAGCTGCCCCTAAAATTATCTTCTTAAAGCAACGTCTGGCCACCTCACCCCCTTCCCCTCAATAAACTCCAGTGGCTCCCTATCACTTCTAGGATCAAATATAAAATCCTGTTTGGCGTTTTAAAGGCTTACCTTTCCAGTGTTCTTATACCTTCCTCCCCCTACCCGCCCCCTGCCCCCACATACCCTGTGATCCGGTGACACTGGCCTGCTGGCTCTTCCTTGCACAGGACAGTCCATCTTCTGACATTTTTTGAACATTTTCTCTGGCTGCCCCCCTATGCCTGAAACTCTCTCCCTCCTCCCTTCCCTGGCTTCCTTCAAGTCTCAGCTAAAATCCCACCTTCTGCAAGAAGCCTTTCCTGACCCTCTTAAGGCATTCAGCCTTCCCTCTGAGACCACCTCCAATTTATCTTGTCTATATCTTCTTTGTCCAGAGTTGTTGGCATGTGTTCTCCCCCTTGAGGGTAGGGATTGCTTTTGCCTTTCTACAAAGAAAGAAAAAAATCTCTAGAGCTTAGCATAGTGCCTGCCACACAATCAGTGCCTGATAAATGCTTGTTGACTTGATAGGAAGCTAGCTAATTTAAAAGGTGCTACCACTTTCCTCCACAGTCCATTTCAATGTCTCTGAGTCCTGTCAGGTCAGTCTTCTGATGAAAACAAAAGTTCTCCTTTCCTGGCCTCAGACCTTCCCAAGTCAGGATCTGAGCTGTGTTAAGTGTGTGAGAATGGCAATTAGGACTTCACCAAGAGATGTGAGATTATCTGCAGAGACATGATCACTGAACCCATGGGAGCTGAGATCACCAAGTAAGAATGCAGAGAGAGAGAGAGAGGGAAGAGAAGGGGCCAGGAGAGAGCCCGGAGGACCCCCACTCTCAGCGGGTGTGACCTAAAGAGCCAGCAAAGACTGAGAAGAAAGGGGCAGTTGGATGGATAGGAGGAGAACCAGGAGACAGTGTCATGAAAACCTAGAGAGAAGAGAGTACCCATAGGAGAAGGTCATCTTCACCAAGGGTCAAAGGCTGCAGAGAGGGCACAAGGGTTGTGAGGCTGGGTGATCTGGCAGTCACTGGAAACTTTGGAGAGAGTAGTTTTCAGTTAAATGAGATTGGAAGCCACATTGCGCAGGGTTTAGAAGCAAAAGAGGAGAGGAAGTAGAAGCACCTACGTAAGCCCATCCCAAAGCCCATCGCTATGGGACTCTCCTCTCATGGGGGGGAGATGAAGGCCCTGCCTTGTGTAAGGGGTGAGGCGAGTTAGGGAGAGCTGAGAGAGCTCTAGCCTTTGCTAAATTCCCCTTTGGGGACTCATCATTCAGGAGCTCCTGGCTCCTAGCCTGGAGAAAGAAAACGGAAGAGGCCAATCCCACTTCAACCCTTGCTGAAGGAAAAGACTTTAGGAAGACATGAGAGGGGTGGGCAGTCTCCACCACGGCTCTCATCCCAGCTTGCTGCTCTAGAGGAGTGGGGAACTTCCCCTTGGCTGTGCTCCAAGAGCCTCTCTCTTGGTGTAGCTGTTATCTCACTTCCAATGGGCGAGCTCCTTCACTGTGTCGCCTGGTGTAGATTCTCCTGTGCGTGTACCCCTCATATTTCTGTTTTGCTATGATTTGGATAAAGTGGTTTCTTTGCCATTTGCCGTGGTGTTCATTGCGGAACTGGTATTAGGAGGGAAAGCAGTAAGCCCCGGATGTAGACCTTCCCCTCCAAATGACAAAGTGATCAAAAGTCACATCCCCAAGACTAACAATAATATCAAGGGAAGCAGATAGATAGACTTCTAGTCAGTACCCCCTCTCTCTGCGGAGAGTAGAACGGTGGCCTCTGGCCCCAACTTCCCGCTTCCCCTCCCGGCAGGAATGAAAGTCTCCCTCAGAGAAAGATGGCAGGAAAAGAGACTATGGACGTCTAGCCTCCCTTTGACTTCACCATCCACGGAGGCCTCCCTACCCATCTGGGGCTCCCTGCAACCCTCTATCCCTCCACCTGTTAGAGACAGCGTCCTCGAGGAGTTTAGCTATAAAGGGGAAGAGAGGGACTGAAGGGCAGATGGCGTGGGTGCTCAGAGGAAATGAGGGCTTTTTCAAAGGACGGGAGGATACAGTCAGTGCAGTATAAATTCACCAAGCATTTATTCCATTTTTCCTGTGTACTGAGCACAGCACTAGGCATTGGGAATACACAGAGAAAGCCAAGAAACGCCTGCCCTCCAGGGAAACACAAACAGGTAAGTATAAACAATACACCTCAAGGAGGGAGAGAGTGTTAACCAGTGGGGGGGGGGTCAGGAAAGGCTTCTTGTAGGTGGGTCAAATAAACTGAACCTTTAACAATAATAACGATAATAATTAGCATTTACACAGTGCCTGTTATGTGCCAGGAATTGTCGTAAGCTCTTTCTACAAATATTATTTCATTGGTTCCTCACAACAACCCTGCGAGGTGGGTGCTTATATTCTCTCCATTTGACAGTCAAGGAAGTTGAGGCGAACAGAGGTTAAGTGACTTGCCTAGGGTCACACAGCTAAAGATGTGCCTGTGGCAAGATTCAAACTCAGGTCTTCTTGACTCCAGGCTCAGCACTCTATCCTTGAAGGAAACTAAGGATTTGAAGAGGCAGAGGTGAACAAGGTTTACGTTTCAGGCAAGGCAGTATGTACAAAAGCGTGGTGAAGGTAGATGAGAGGCTGGGTTCAAGGAACGGCTACCAGGCCAGGCTGGCTAGAGTATACAATGAATACAGGACAGTAACAGAAAATATGCCTTGAAAGTTTGGTTGGAGCTAGCTTGGGAAGGGCTTTAAAGGAATGAACAGAAAAACCATTTATTAATCACTTACTCCGTGCCAGGGAACGTGCTCAGTGCTAGGAATACAAACACAAGGGTGAGATGGCCCTTGCCCACAAGGAGCTGATATTCTAATGGGGAAGACAAAACATGGAGGGAAGTGGTAGCTAAGGAAGGGAATTTTGGTCTAAGTCAGCAAGGATGGCGAAGTCATCCACTGGGCAGCCAATTAAGAAGATATCCTTTCCTGAAGCAATATTGGTCTGAAGCAAACCTGAAGCAAAATTGGTATCGGTTTGATGAATTTAAGAAGGGAGCAATCGTTTTCCTTAGACCGAGTTGCCGTCTGAATCGTCTCATTTTATTCGTTGTTCTTATTGCACAGAGACATATTGATTTGACTACTCTACTTGAGGAGGCTGACAGTGGGAAACTGGGACATTGGGTGGTGATAGGATTGGGGGCAGATTGCAAGATGGCTGGCTGGATGACTGGATGGGACGCCAACGAAGAATGAGCCAATCTGGGGCCAGCTAGATATTACGGGCTAGGGTGAGAAGGCAATGCCAGGCTGACAAGTTACTTTATCCAGAGGCAACAGAGAACCACTAAAGATTTCGAGCATGGAATTTGCGCTTTAGGAAGATTATTTTGCCAGCTGTGTGGAAGAAGGATGGAGAAGGGAGAGACTAGAGACAAGAGACAAGGATACCATTACGACGCTCCAGGAAGGAGGTGATGAGGAATCCACGCGGGCAGGCAGAAAGGACGGTCTGGAGGTAGAACAGGAATTAGTGGTCGTACCTTTATGAAAATGGGCAAGTGTAGGGGAGGAGCAGGTTTTAAGGGGAAGACAATGAGCTTTGTTTTCAACATCTTGATTTTGAGGTGCCAATGGGACATCCAGATAGAGATGTCTTCCCGGCAGCTGGTAACGAGGGGACAGATCAGGGTTAATAATCACTGATATTACATGAAAGGCTTATAAAATGCTTTGGACGTTGGAGTTATCTATGTAGAGATGATACATGACCCTAAGGAAGCTGATGAAATCACATGGGTAGATAGCATGTAGAGAGAAAAGAACACCCACGGTTAGGGGGTGGAAGACAGAGCCAGCAAAAGAGACCAACTAAACTGATTCACAAAGGGAATTCATTGACATGGAACTAACACGTCAGCTCTTTGTCACTGGGTCACGTTGTATTTTAGTCCTTTACCATTCAAATACTTGAAAACAGCTATTGTCTTCTCTTTCCTCAGTCTCTTCAAGCGATCTTCACGTGGTGGGCTCCCAGAGACCTTCTCTAACCTGGTTGTCCTGCAGCTAATCAAAGTCCTTAAAATGTGGCCTCCAGAACGGAACACAATATTTTATGCAGGCTGATCAGGCCGAGGACAACAGGGTCCTTCCCTTCCTTAGTCCAGCCTAGGATTGACAGAAAAGCCAGGTGGGTCCTGGGAGTCCAAGGAGGGTCAAGAGGGATTGGCGGGGGTGGGTGGACAGAAGGGACAAATGCTGATGTCACTGAAGCCAAAGTCTGCAGCCTTCCAAATTGAGTAGCTGAGCTACGCGTCTATGGATTCTGAGGAAGGTGCTTCCTGAGCAATGAAGAGCCACTCTGGGGAGCAGCGTTGCAACAGCCTGACCAGGAACTAGCTCTGATTGGGGAATCTCGGACTGCATGGGCCCTGCCCTCACCTGTAAAGGACACCCCGATCTGTAATTCCCCCAAAAGAGTTTAGATTTGAACCAGAATCTCTTGGCAACTTCCCCACATAGTTGCTAGTCTCTGGGACCAAGCAAAGAAAAGGCTAATCTCTTCAAATACTTGGAGACTGCTGCCATGGCCCCCCACAAAGCTTTCCTTTTCCAAACTAAATCTGACTCTCACACAGCAGGGCTTCCAGTCCCTTCATCATCCTGGTCCTGCCACCTCTTGTCAGGGTTCTCCCTAACACACACACACATACATGACACACACACACACACACACACACACACACACACACACACACGCAATCACAGATAATAAGGGATCTAAGAGGCCATCTAATGCGACACTGTAGCTCAGAAAGAAGTGACTTATCCAAGGTCACACAAGGGCCCAAGCCAAGAGGACTTCTAACTCCTGGAACCATGAGAGATAGGGAGCTCCTCTCATGTCTAATTCTCTTTCCGCCCCACCCATGTACCTTCTGCCTTCGTTTCTCCTTCCTCTTATCCTCAGTGGCCTGAAGCATTTTCTCTTTCCACAAGTTGAAGAAATATGATGGGTCAGTATAGAATTTAAGGCCATCTTTCTTGTCATCTCTGAAATGGACCCAAAAGGGCATGTTAGTGAGCTCATCAACAGCTGGCATCTAGTCTGCCCCCTGTATTTTACAGAAGAGCAAAATGAGGCCTAGAAAGGGTAAGAGACTTGCTTAAGGTCACACAGTTAGCTGTGATTCGAACCCACATCGGAAAGCCATGAGGCCCAGTTAAATTTGAGCTTGCTGCCTTCCAGGGACCCCCCAAGGAGAAAATGCCCTCTCTTGTTGGGATGATGGGAGCTTAGATCTAGAAGGCTCAGAAAATATTTAACACTAGGTCTCCCGACTGCCAGGCAGTGGATGAACCATTGTTTCAACCAACCAGACACTTCCCAAGAAACCCCCAAACAACCTGCCCTCCAAAGCACATTCCTGAAAGATGGGTGTTACTTGGCATCAGCAAGGAGGCTGTGTGCTCCCCGGGGAAGCATGTGGAGGTAATAGCAGTAGTGTAGGGAAAAAACACTGAGCTTGGAGTCAGGAGATCTTGGAGTCAGGAAGCCTCATCTTCCCACCTACTAGCTGTGTGACCTAAGGCAAGTCATTCACTTCTCTGGGTCTCAGTTTTTTCATCTGTAAAATAGGGATCATAATCCAGAGTTGTTGTGAAGATGTATTTGGTGCCTACTGTGCAGAGGCACTGAAGGAGATACAAAGCTCGTAACATAAACCATAATCATAAAAACTCTAAATCATTGCCAGCTCTTCTTTATTATCACCAGCCGCGACTGTTAACTGAGAGGTGTTCTCTGGTGTGGAGGGATCTTAGTACTCACGCTTACATGCCCCCAGCTCTGAGCCAAGAAGCGAGGAGGAACGCTTGACCCACCAGTCAAGGTGATGAGGCCTGGGCAGGCAAAGGTCACTACCCAGGTGAGACGGCGGCTCAACATGGAGCCAAAGCAACCTCTTTCATGGCAGCAGTTCACATATTCTCAATAAGTGGGGAAAAAAGGCCAGGAGCATTTTGCTCCCCATGACCTGTACGGCAGGAAGGCTATTATTTTGTCCTATCAGATGAGGAAACTGAAGCTATAAGAGATGCGGTGAGTTGCCCCAGGTTACACAGCTAGGAAAGGACCAGCCAGGGCTCGGTCAGGTGCCCCAACTCTAAGGCCGGCACTCCTGACCAAAGCCAAAGCCCCAGGAGATAGAACAGGATCCTGACTCGGGCTCCACCTGCTCTCACTCTCCAGACCTATCCTGGTCGCCAGGGGCCCTACCCTCCCTCCTACCTGTAGGCCGTGAGGATGTTGAGAGGCGGGGGCTTGTCACACCGCTGGTACATCTCCATCACAGGGTTGGGGATGGAGTTACGTGATACCACCTGCTGATTCTGGATTGTGGAGCTCCGGAAAGCCTTCCTCATGTTGATATCCTGCAGGGACACTGCGGAGCCGAGGAGCACAGGATTTAGAGTGGCAAGGGACCTTTCAGATCATCTAGTCAAGGGGTTCATGACCTGGGGTCTACAGAGCCCTTGGAGGGGGTCTGTGAATGGATTTGGATGAGTTCATAACTTGGGGTCCACAGAGCCCTTGGGGGGGGTCTGTGGATGGAGTTGGAGGGGTTCATGAAACTGGATGAGGAAAAATTTACAATCTCATTTTCACCAACCTCCAGCTGACATTGAGCATTTCCTTCAGTTATTTAAAAACATGACTCTGAGAAAGGGAAAGAAGTTCTCATCTGAGAGGAGAAGAAGAGAGTCCACCCCAGAGTGGACGTGGCCCCTGCTGGCTGACGGCCTCTCGTCCAGTTCCGCCCAGTCTTCGTACAGATGCCTCCCATGTCACAAACTGCATGTGGCCATGTGCCTCCCGGGCCTGCCTGCTTAGATCCTGGCTGGATAGTCCCAGATACCTCAAGAGGTATCATTCTATGGATTAGATGGAAGAGCATCCAGAAGGTTCCATGGCCTCTGACCTTACCGTTCCCAAAGCTTGTCCTCCTTCCTGCTTCAAGCAGCAAGAACCACATTAGGCAGGCAGTGAGGCGCTACTGACTCTGGTACCAGAGAGTAAGGAGACCTGGGTTCAAACCCCAGCTGTGTTACCTTGGGCAAGTCACCTGACCTCTCTGGGCTTCAGTTTCTTCCTCTGTAAAATTGTGGGGTATACAGTAGGTGACCCCTAAGGTCTCTTCTATCTCACCAACTATCATCTATGATGTAACTGCAGTCCCTCCTTGCACCTAGCTGCCTGTTGGCTTTTTCGCTAAGCACCCAATCCCCTTCCTGGGACTCATTTGACGATCAGTCAGGTACACTAAGAATCCCTAGAATTACAGCATCTGGAATCCTACTGAGCCTTAAGGAGCGAGGGGGATTTCTTTGTGCAAGGTCACACGGCACGTCAGCGTCAGACCAGTACTAGAAGCTCCTCAGCACTTTAGGGCCCTCTGAGGCTCCAGCGTGGGCCCACTTCCCCTTCAGCTGCAGGCCTCCCGGACATCCTTCCAAATGGGGCTGATTTGGCTGGCACTAAAAAGGGCCTCTGTGGCACAGGGAGTGCTGTGATGGCTCTAGCCCTGGCTCTGCCACAGACTTTGATGCAGGGCAAGTTTCCCGATCCGTAAAATGAGAGGGTTGGACGACATGACCTCTAGGGTCACCTGGCTCTCAGGTCCTTTCTGTCCTCTGGCCATTCCACCCTGCAGAATGGAGACAGGCCTTTAGGTCCATCTAAAGACTCAGGATGCTCCCTGCTCTTGGTGACAAGATCCCCGCTTTCTCTGGGCCCTTCTTTTCAAAGAAGCTCTTGGGAACAAAGAAAGAGTCGATAAATCCCCGTTATAAAGCACCTGCCCACACCACAGACGGAGTTCAAATCTCATTCCCTACCAGTACAATTGTTCTTGCTCTCAAGCAGTCTACATTCTATTAGGGGAATAGCAACACGTGTGTTGATGCGCAAATACAAATGGATTCAAGATAAAGTAATTTTGGAGTACAGTTGGTGCTGTTCCCCCTTCATTGTCTAAGACGCCCAGTAACATCCCAATGTTGGGGTCCAGCTGGGGCTGATCAGTCCAACATGAGCCCCGAAGGCTCTACCACAGGTTGGGCCCAAGCAGTCCGTTAGAACATTTGCAATGGAGATGTCTCTGGATTTGTGCAACTCACGTTTCCTCTGTGCTACTGGGATTCTGCTTTGCTCACAGAGCACAGCGTCTTCTTTGATGGGGGCACGCCATGCTGGGCGGTCCTATGCCAGTGTCTCCCATGTCTCACAACCGATTCCAAAGCTCTTCAGAGAGACCCTGAGAGTGTCTTTGTATCACTTCTCACCACCACGTGAGACACTTTCTTGTGTGATTCTCTGTAAAACAGTCTTTTAGACAATATATTTGGCATTCGAACAACTGACCAGCCCATCAGAGTTATGCTCAGCAGTTCAGCTGGAGAAAGGACCTCAGTGTCCAGTACCTTATCCTGCCAGGCACAGTAGACGCACCCATTGCCAGAGCAAGCTCAGTGTTTGGGAGGCTCCAAAGGAAAGTGTGGGGAGAAAAGGTATTAGACTGACTACCACACTGAAGGTCTACGAGCTGTTGTGCTGACCTCATTGTTGTATGCCTGTGAAACCTGGACCGTCTACTAGCGCCATGCCAGGAAATGGAACGGCTTCCACTTAAGTTGTCAGGAAGATTCTGAACATGACCTGGCATGATAAGGAGGGAGCAAAGGACTCCAAAAGGTGAAGGTGAGGAAGGGGAACATTTCAGGAACAGGCAACAACCTGGGCAAAGTCACAGAGTGGGAATGGGGAATACCAAGCAAGCCAGTTTTAGGGTGACTGGAAAGACGGGCTAGTGCCAGATTGCAAATGGCTTGAAATGCCAGGGAGAAGAGTTTGTATTTCCTCCTCAAGACACTTCTGAGCAGGGGAGTGGCATGGTTAACCTCGTGCTGGAATCTCAAGTTGGCAGCCACATGGAAGAAGAACTGGTAAGGAGAGATGCCTACGGGACATACAATAGAGAACCAAGCAGACAGCCAGAGATGCAGGGATGGAGGCCAGCAAGGAGATGGAGGCTGGCAATGTACACCTGGCAGTCACCTGCATGGAGGGCATCGAAAGAAGCAGCGCTCCATGGTGCCAAAGCTGCAGAAGGAACAAGAGGAGGAAGTCCACGAAAAGGCTGAGAGCAGCTTCAGCTGAGTGGGGAGTCTAGGAGCTAGATTCCAAGGGTGTGAGGAATGGGAGGTGAGGAAGGGAACAAGTAAAAACATTTTTTTCTAGGAGTTTGGTTATGAGAGGGAAGAGACATCTAGACATGACTTGAGGGAAAGCTTGGTAAATAAGGCAGGGAGCCAAGCAGATTTATTGGCAGCAGGGAAGCAGCCAGGAGATAGGGAGCAATGCAGGTTTAGAGAGGGTGGATGAGTGAAGGGGCCAGCTCCTGGAAGACACAGGAAAGGATGCTAATGCTCCCAAATATGTAAAAGAAGCTCACATGTCTGTAGGATTTTAAGGCCTACATAATTACTTATTCGCAACAGGAAGGCAGAAAATGCACAATTATCCCATTTTACAGATGAGGAAACTGAGAAACAGAGACTGAAGTGCCTTGCCCCAAGTCACACGCTGGTAAGTGGCAGATTGAGGAGCGCTAATTACAGTGCTGCAGTTAGGAGTTAGGAGTTGGAGCCTTGAGTCCTGCTCGGGCCACTTACTATCTGAGTGACCTCGGGACGTCATACTCCCTGCTCTGGGCTCCACTTTCCTCTTGTGTAAGTTGAGGGGGGCGCATGAGGTGACCTCGGAGGCCCTTCCTGTTCTTGTTCTAGGACGTAAGGATCCTTTCACAGTATGATGCAGAAAGTCTCCGACAGGCATCTTGGCCTCAGCCTTCATCCTCGGCAGTAATACAGGGGTTCTCCTGCAGTGCCAATATTTGTAGACCTATAAGCTGGTCTTTTAAAACTAGTCTCATTTCTAGAAAAGCATTATTTTATTTTTATCACCCCCTCCCCAAGCTATTTGCTCTGGCAATGGCCACTAGATGGCAAACTTGAACTAACTGCTACTCACCAGTGACCTCAACCATGGAAAAACCAACCTTCGAGTCATCGTCAAAACTCCGTGGGCCACCAGAAACCCACTCCCACCACATAATGTGCACTGCTCCCACTCACAGTGCCCCATGCACATTCCTGCCATCACCAGCCCTGAGAAGCCTAGTGTTTGCGTCTGGCACATACACACGGAGCTCCAGCCCTAGCCCAGCTATCCCACGGGAACCAGAACACAACTAGAAAGAAAAGCCTAAGGCTGTCTTGTAGGACCTAGGCCAATGCCTGATTTCCTTTACGCACTAGGCAAGTAGTTGAAACACAGTATTGCCGGCCTTCAGCACCCACCATAGGCAGAGATCAGAAGAGCGTTATCACAGGATTTCAGAGCTGGAAGAACTCTTGGACCACAAACCATCAGAATGGGAAGGGCCCTTCGAGAATGCCTGATTCTAGGATCACAAAGCTAGAAAGAACCTCAAAGGTCATCTAGTCCACCAACTTCCTTATGTTACAGGGGAAGGAGCTTGGGCTTAGAGAGTTGAAGTGACTGGCCCAAAGGCCAGCTGTCACTATACAGTTACACATCCGTTTCATGAAGCAAACCCACACTGATGCTAGGGGGTAGAAATCCCCATCAAGCAATGCATGGAACAATTTCTGGAAAGAGAATCTTGGTACCTATGGTCTGTTTGGGTCCAGGTGGTTTAGCTGGTAGGCTAGGACAACCTGTAACAGACAAGCTGGGCCAGGGGCAAAACCCAGGGAACGTTCCTGGCCCTGAGAAAACGATGCCTGTAGCAGGTTCCCTTCTCTAGCCTGTATCGCAGCAGGGTATAGGCCCTTCCATGGACTTGGAGACGGGGGGGGGGGGGGCGGGGGGGATCTCCAAAGTCACCTGCTGGGAGGGCCATGCCACACTTAACTGTACAGACTTGTTATAAGGGGGTCATTATAATAATATATTGTTTTATGTATATAATACATATATATTATTAAGGGAGTTGTTATAATAATATATTGTTATATATATGATATATGATAAAGGGGGCTGTTAGAATAGTATGCTGTTATACATATATGATATATATAAGGCAGGTCACTTTACCTCGAGGGGCCTCAGAGAAATGTAGCCTTGAATTATCATCCTGTGGCGTGTCGAGTCCTACAACCAGACTGTGCCTCCAACGTCCTGCCCAACTCTAAGTTACACAACATAACCCAGAGTAGAGGAGCTACTCCTCTGGGATGTCTGCACCTGAATGCTGCTTCCCAGCATTTTGTAGGTAATTAAGCTAAGTGGATTCCATTGTTAAAGCAGCTAGCTTTTTGTCATCGGGGAGAATCAGTAGGCCCATCACCAGGTACTGAGAAGCTATGTACAAGCCCGTGTCTGTGTAATAACAATAGCTAGCATTTATATCGCACTTTGAGGTTTGCAGAGGTGTCAAACACGTTGCCCATGGACCCTCCCAAGTGCTGCCAAATGCAAATTCAGATGTAATTGGGAAATATTTAGCATAAAAATACAACAGAACGTAGATAATGCTAACATTTAGTTTTCTAAGTGTATACACACTTGCAGGATTCCTTATGTATAGTGAATTTGACACCACTGCTTTACAAATATCTCATTTTATTCTTGTAACAATCAGGGAGGTAGGTACTATCACTATCCCCATTTTACAGATGAGGAACCTCGAGCAGACAGAGGTTCAGTGACCTGACCAGGGTCACAAGCTAGTAAGTGTCTGAGGCTAGATTTGAACTCAGGTCTTCCTGACTCCAGGCCCGGTACTCTATCTACTGCATCATCTGGAAATGTGATAGGACATACATGTTGGTAAGTGAGTCCTACATCTCCATTTACATGTCTGTGAGTCTGTATACACATGTGGAAGTGTGTGCAGGAGTGAGCATGTGCATTAAAGTATATTGGGAATGAGTGTACATGAGGTAATATGTGTATATATGAGAGCATATGTGTGCTTTAAGGAGTGGGGTAGGGGAATATGTACATACAGAGTACAAGGCCCTCCCCAAATTTGGGGTGGGGTGGACACTCATAACAGGTAAGCCCTGCCCTACACGTTTATCCAGTTGAATTTAGGATGTGCTCTATACATGAATGACAGGAGACTGATGTACCCAATGAGAACTACCCTGCAAAGAAAAGATTCTCGAATTCGGAGCAAGACCTCAGAGGAGCATCATGGTGGAGGCGTCCTCTCGGCACAGGGACAGAATAAGGCAGACGTTTTCAGACACAGCCAATGTCCTGGTCCATTCTCACCATTCTATGGACTTGGAGATGGGGGCGGGGATCTCCAAAGTCACCTGCTCTAGCCTCCTCACTGTGCAGATGAGGAGTCTAGGTGAGGGCCATGCCGCACTTAACTGTACAGACTTGTTGTAAGGGAGGTTTCTAAGGGGAAAAGGGGGTCATTATAATAACATATTGACATATATACAATATATTATAAAGGGAGTTGTTGTAATAATATATTGTTATACATACCACATGTATGATAAAGGGGATTCTGATAATATATTGTTATGTATAAGATATCTGTGATAAAGAGGGCTGTTATATATATGATATATATTATAAAGGGGATCATTAAGAAGAAAAATAGAAAAGAAATAAAAACCCAAGTTTGAATTCTCTGCCCCTTTACTATTCAAATACCTTAAGGCAGGCCACTTTACCTCGAGGGCCTCAGTTTCCCCATATGTGAAGTGAATGGGGAGGAAAGGTTGGACTGTAATCTCTGAGGTGTCTTTCCAACTCAAAAATCTTGTGCTTACATTTCAATACTTCCATCCTTCCAGAGTCTCACAACACCCAGCACACAGTAAGTGCTTAATAAATGCTAGATGTCAATTGTGATAACTGGCTCTTGCCAATGGTGCCAGCCCTACCTTCCTTGTGACTCCTCCTCATTCATAGCCACACCTAGTCTGAAACTTTCCGTGGAGGACCTTGCCAACATGCTGTGTGCCCTCCTCTTCATCTTTTAATAGCTAGTGCCTACCAGCCAAGCATGTGGGCTACACCATCTGTTGTTACCTGACTGCTCCCACGCCTTTCTTGGCCATCCATTTCTTCCCTGACGCCTTCTACATCACAGCAGACCACAGTTTTATAGTCACACAATTTAATTAATAAGGGGCTATGCACCCCTAGGTTGTGTGTGTATGTATGTAGGTAGTTATTAGCTATTTCAAGGTGTCCATATGCAAACAAAAAAGCATTGTCATTTTGCAAACTAATGTTTTACATAGCTATATTAATGTTTTTCAAATGTACAGATACTGTTGAGATGAACAAAAATACAAATTTGCTTTTTAAAAAAGGAGAGAGGATGGAGAAGTCCTCTCAGGACGATGATGGCAGAGTGTTGTCAAAGCACTGTTCATCAACTGTTCTTGCCTGTTTTTTATTGAAACAGAAGAATTCAAATTTGGGATGGCCAAAAGTGACCATAAGATACAAACAAAAGGCATCAGGAAAACTTATTTGAAAAAATACACAACTAGGGCCAGCTTTGAAAGTATAATCAAGTCACAGAGAGACAAACCAATATCACAGTGCCCCCTTGGAGCCCTGGTGCCAGGGCTCTGGCCTAAGACCCTAACAAACAGCAGGCCTAAGGTATCCCCTGAGAAAACTGGAAATAATCTAGGCAAGAAGAAGAAAACACAGCCTTGCCCTGCGGCCAGGAAAGAGCGATGCTCCCTAAGCTCACCCTGCCCTACCCACCTTCTTCCACGGTGGAGTCCAACTGTGTGACCTTAATCACCAAGAGGTCCACCCTCTCCTGCAGCGAGTTCATTCGCATGTAGAAACTGTTGGCTTCATTGAAAAGTTCCCCAAAGATGTCCTCTGCATGTCTGCCTGGAATTGGAGGGAGAGGGACAAAGAAAGTCTTGAGAGGGTTCCCCACAATACTCTCCCAAGCCCAAGCGCTGGCTTTAGCCACCCCATGTCCAGCTTCCCTGTTTGCTCACTGAACAAGAATCCTCATCCACCCTCTGCTCCCCTGCCTCAGCTTCATGCCCCCACTGCTGCCCTCTGGGATTAAGCAAACTAAGCCTGGTTCAGGCATGTTTTACAGAACAAATCCTTTTATTAAGAGGATTTATTCTGTGAAGTTTGGATTCAGTCAAAGGGCCACACTTGAGGACCTTAGAGGGCCACATGTGGTCTCGAGGCTGCAGATTCCCCACGCTGTCCTAGTCCCTCTTCCCCAAGACAGTTGAAGATGGCCATCTTGTCTTCTCGATAAATTTTCTCTTGAGGATTCCAGCCTAAACATCCTGACTTCCCCCAAGTACTTCTCCTTGCTGGTGGTAGGCCAAAGCCAGGTGAACAACTGTGGTTCTGGGAAGGCCTTGGTGCCTGGCCCACTGCGTGCACTCCTCATTTTTAACAATGAGGCCATGCAGTGAGGTGTACAAAGTTCAGGACCCTCATTTTACAGATAAGGTGACTGATGCTCAGAGGGGGGATTGCTTGTGGGGTCGAAGGCAGATGAGTAGACTAAGTGCTCAGCTCTTCGCACCGTACCATGATGCTGGTCAATCTCACTGAGACCAGTGTTGCCACATCTCTTCCACAGACGACTGGGTGGCTGGAGAGGCCAGTGGCTCCTGGCTTTGCCATGGGAGCCCCCCCCCCCCTTGAAGGCCAGAGCAGACAGGGCAGCCCCAACTTTGCTAATCAGGTATGGATGGTGCTGCCTGCCACAGAGAAGTAGATTTCAGTTCAATGTAAGGAAAGCCTTCCTAATAATCAGCACTGTGCCAAAACAAAATGGGCTACTTCAGGAGGTAATGAGTTCCCCATCACTGGAGGTCTGCAACTAGCAACTGAGAATTGCAGAGGAGATTCCTGCTCAGCTAGGGGGTGGATTCTATGTCCTGTGAGATCCTTTCTAACACTCAGATTCTGTGATTATGGGCAGGCTTCTGGGAGCTAGTGAGATTCTGAGTAGCTGCGCTGCCCCGATGACTGGCTACCGCTCTTGGGCCTCCTTCACTGCCCAGTGCCAGGCAGCATCATCCACACCCCTACTGCCTTCACATCATTCAGAATTCATCTCCTCCTCTTCCTCAAAGTTCCAACAAGAGCTTTATGGGTATGATCTGAGGGACACAAAACTGTCACTCCTGCTGATGCCTAAAATTTTATACTTAGACAACCATTCCTTTGAGTTAAAAATGGCCCTCTACCTGCTCTGTCCTCTTTTTACACTATCAATAGAGGAGAAAAGTGGGACATGCCAAGTCTCTGACAGCTCTGACAGTGTTGTTAGGTCTACTCTATGCTTTTGGCCCTTACAACAGAGGCTGCTAGCAAAGTAAGGGCCCTGTATGCCTCGGGCCAAAGGGCCCTGAAAAGTGAAAGGAAGGAATGGGGGAGCAGCCTGGCCCGCAGAACATGTGCTATGTCACCACGCCACAAGGTGAAGGCTCTAGGGTGTCCTCCAATCTAGGTGCATCATTACACATTGCCATTGCTATTTCTTGGACTTCAGCCACAGCTACTTAGGCTGGGGCCCTCTTGGGGACAGGAGGCAGTCTCTGCATGAAGACGCTCTCCCCGCTGGGAACAGCTGTTTTCTGTAGCCTCATCCCTCTTGCCCGCTAAGGCTGAGCCTTTGAAGTGGGTGGAGAGAGAGACAGCTCTGACATAAAGGAAACAACAGAGGCCTAAGAATGAGGAGACCTTGCTCTAGCCTCAGCTTCACTACTTGGCTACTGACCTTGAGCAAATCAATGACTACCTCTGAGCCTCAATTTCCTCATCTGTAAAATGAAGAGTTAAGCTGAACTCCCAACCCCTCCCAAGATCCCTCTTAGCACTGAAATTCTGTGTCCCTAGGTCCTTCTAGGTGGGACCAATGCCATGTCCTGTGGTCCCCCACCCAGGTAATGGCATGCTATGGCCAAAGGTCCCTCCTGACCCCGATGCCCCTCCCAGCATGCCATGCCATATTCCTTCCCACTCTGCATCCTGTCCTCTGACTCTCCAGGCATCCCAAGCTGACCTGATGGGCGTAGAGCAGAGTACTTTGGCTCACTAGCCAAATGGGAAGCGCATTTGCCACTGATTCCCAAGCTCCAGGGACTTGGCAAGGAGGGCCCTCCATTTGGGAACATCTGGCTGAGAGGTGAGAGGCTAGGGCTAGAACACAGGGAAAGGGAAGGGCCCCGCAGCCAGGCCCCAGGCCATCTGGAGCAGTTCAAATCACAGACCTTCCCCAATGCTTCACCTAGTTTCCTGTCCCAATGGTAACAGTGCGCATTAAAGGTTTAAAAAGCACTTTTCACAAAACAAATTCTACAACAACTCTGTGGACCAGGGAGGGCAAGTATTATCCCCATTTCATATTCCAAGGACCCTGAAGTCCACAGAGGTAAAGTTATTTGCCTGCCGACGACACAGCTTGGATGTGCTGGAGCCAGGGCTTAAAGCCACAGCTTCCCTCCAAAGCTGAGGCTTTTGCCACTATCCCAGGCAATGTCTCAACAGGGAAGGAGCTTTCTGCCTACATCCTAGCCTGCCCTCTGTTGCTAATGGGAGAGCCCCTACTAGGCAACTACAGCAACATGAGCACCTCAGCACACACTGCCCATTTTCTGGGAGCCAGGCTGGAAGGGACCTTAGAGAGCTTGGGGTTTGACCCCTCATTTTATAGTCTTATGAGGTTCAGGAAAAGAGAGTGATTTGCCCAAGTTAGTGAGTAGCCCATTGATGGGCTGGCCATCATGGTGGGGGAGCATTTAGGAAGAGTCTCTTGACCATCAGGAGGCTGTGTTCCTAGAGAAGGCTGTAAAATCTTTCAGGATGAAACCAACAATAAATAAACTTTCTGGGATGGCCTAGATATGCTGCCTACTTGTCTGGGGGTGGGGGAATTGATCAGATGACACTTTGAGATCACCTTCTATCCTCAAAAATCTGTGGCCTCCTAAGATGATGAACTCCCCAAAGACAGGGACTTACTTCATCACTTCCCTTCTCTGGAACTCAGTATCCCCTATAAAATGAGAGATTTGAGAAGAGCAAGTCTAAAGCTTCAACCTTAGACATTATGATACTTTACTGCCTACCCCCAATGGTCAAAGAGACCAAATCAGGAGAAAAAGGTGAATGGCTCCGTGCAGAAGGATATACCCAGGCCTGGCCGCAGGCCCTCAAAGCCCAGCCCACTTACTGAGGCTGCCCAGCTGCTTGATGATGGCAGCTAGGGTGCTGTTGGTGACACATTCCAGCTCGCTGGTGACGCCATCGGGCAGGGCACCTCGGCACAAGTGCCTGGGTTCAATGTTCCTCTTGACCAGTGGCATTGTCCTAGGTTGTCTTCAGTATCATCTGTGGGGAGGGGTGGGGTAGAAGAGGAAAAAAAGAAGAGGGAGAGTTGAGCTCATGACTGAACATAAGACAAGTAGATCAGGGACCTCAGCGGAGGGCCAGAAACTCCAAGCTGAAAGGCCTAAGTTGGAATCAGCTCCCTACACCCGAGAAGTTCTTTGGTTCACCTTATGTACCTCTTGCTAGGTCATCCCTTTTGGTCTCCCTTAGTATTTAATAGCATTGTAGGCACTCTTTGTATTGGCAAACGGCCTTGCCATTCTTATGGTCATGGTACATGAGGATCTAGATTCTCATTTTAGAGATGGGAAAACTAAGGTACTGAGCAGCCAAGGGACTTAGCCAGAATGTGAGTGGTGAGACCCTTCACTGCTGACCTCCAGTTGGATGCAGTCACCTGCATGTGCCACCAGCCTGTTCTTAGCAGACCAAATCAAAATGTTAGAAAAGGGCTTGGCTTCCAGCCAGCCCTGGAGGGCATCCTCCCCAGAGCTGGCTATGTGGCACAGCTCCGGCAGGGCTCACTCTCTCTTGTTGGGGAAGGGAGGGGTAGCCTTCTTATTGCCTTGTCAGACAATCAAAGGGAAAGGGTGCTGGGTCTCTCTTGGACTCTCTCCCCAAGAACTATGACCATCCAGACTGCTGGCCCAATGTAAGAAGTTCACCACATACCTGCCTCCTTTCCTTCCCCTCCTGCTTCCACTGCCTAGTCCTCTAGGCTGCCAAGCAGTATTAACTGCGGGGTCCCATCTAACCCTCCCTGTACCTCCCCACAGGAATCTTGCTTTAGGGTTCAGATTGTGCACTATAGGTCTGTGTGAGTCTCCAAACTCTGCCAGGCAATCAGACCAGACGAGACAGACCGAAATGGCAAACACCACAGTGCCTCACGGCAAAGCCCCTTCTGGTTGGCCGGCTAACCCCTCTAAGTCTTCCAGCTAGTCACCATGTTGGATTCAGTTCAATTTCAATTGGTAGGGAAACCTGAACCCTGGGCTCCTGCCCCAGGTCTGTCACTGACTTACTACCACGAGGAGCCTTCCCTTTCTTTCCTCTGGGGCTCAGTGTGCCCATGTGTGAAAGGGAGCATTAAGGGTCTCTGTGCCCTTGTGCGCCTTCCTAGGTTGCTGTGAGGAAGAGGGAGATGGAAAAACATTGGTTTCATGCCCAAGAAAGGGGCAGCCTGGTCAATGTACCAGTATGTTGTTGTTCTACTGCCTCAAAGAAAAACAGTTGGGGGTGGGGGAGGAAGGGGGAGGAGTAAGCAAGCTGAGTGAGAGCTATATAACCACGTTGCATGAGCTTTTCCCTCTGATGAACTAGCTTATTGTCCAACTAGTTCCCAGAGCCCGGATGCTTAGCTTGAAAAGCAGCAGAGATATGTGGCAGTTCATTGGTAGCCACGAGCACCAAGCACACTCCATTAACTGTTATCAGTGGGTGCTGGCAGGCAACAGTGGGTACTGCAGAAGAATCCAGGCCTGCTGGGTTTCCGGTATGCTCAAAGGGATGACAGTGGTAGAGCAACCTTCAGAGAGGTCCCAGGGGGCCAATTCCCAGACCCCATTCCTCCCTGCTCAAAACCCCCCACAAAACAGTGCCAGCCTTTGCATTTGCCAGGACAGTGGGCCTGAGGGACCTCCCAGCAGAGGTGGGGCAAGCTGGCAGCTGCCCCATTGAGGAGGGGTGAAGCTTTGGTGGGCATGAGTCCCTTCTCTTTGGGGATGGAAGAAAAGCAGCCCATTACCATGGCAAAACCTAGAAGCAGTAGCTGCTGAGGTCAGTTAATTAGTTCCAAAGGGGGCCCAGGGGGCATGGAATGTATACAGAACCTAATTGGGAAAGAACTGGTTAGGGCTTCAGGCCAGCCACCTGGAGTGCCCCCCATTTGGCAGATTCTAGTAGAGCTGCTTTCTCCAAAGAGGTCAAGACACTTGTCTTCCCAAAACATCCAAACCACAAGCCCAAGAGAGCACAGATTACTCTTCTGATTTTATAGAGAAGGAAACCAAGGCCCCCCAAAGAAGGGACTTGGAGTCTAGACCTTGTTCTGCTAACCCCCTGTATGACCTTGGGCAAATCACTTCCTCTCTAGGCCTTAGTTTGTCTCTGTAAAATGAGGGCATTGAGCCTGATGGTCTAAGGTCTGTTCCATCTCTAAAAACCCAAGGCTCACTACAGAACTCATCACTGACGAAGGGGAAGGAGGTCATCACAAGCTTGGAGAAAAATGTGGGCAAAAGCACACGGGTGGAGGAGGACAGGAGGCAGTTGAGGGGCAGAGTTGTCTGGCTTAGCCAAAGCCTTACATGAATGGAAGGGAGACATCTGAGATCTGGAAAAGCAAGGCAGAGCACTATGCTGGAGGTCCTGGAAGGCCTGTACCTGGCCTTTAGAGGCAATAGGCAGCCACTGAAGTTTCTGAGCTGAGGAGTGATGGAACCAGATCTGTCCTTGAAAAAAAGATCATTCTGCCAGCAACGTACCACATGGATTAAAGGGAGATGAGAGTAGAGCCCTCAAAGGAGCCTACTGCACTAGGCCAAAGCCGGTGGGAATAAAGGCCCAGTATTGGTGGCAGTGGGAATACAGAGGAAGAAGAGAGGGAGGAAGAGAGGGAGGGAGGGAGAGATGGATAGATGGAAGGAGGGAGGGAGGGATAGACAGATGGAGGGATGGATAGATGGAGGGATGGATGGATGGAGGGAGAGAAGGATAGATGGATGGAGGGAGGGATGGATGGATGGAGGGAGAGAAGGATAGATGGATGGATGGAGGGAGGGATGGATAGATGGAGAGAAGGATAGATGGATGGATGGAGGAAGGGATAGATAGATGGAGGGATGGATAGATGGAGGGATGGATGGATGGAGGGAGGGATAGATAGATGGAGGGATGGATGGATAGAGAGAAGGATAGATGGATGGAGGGAGGGAGGGATGGATGGAGGGATGGAGGGAGAGAAGGATAGATGGATGGATGGAGGGAGGGATGGATAGATGGAGGGATGGATAGATGGAGGGATGGATGGATGGAGGGATGGAGGGAGAGAAGGATAGATGGATGGAGGGAAGGAGGGATGGATGGAGGGATGGAGGGAGAGAAGGATAGATGGATGGAGGGAGGGAGGGATGGATAGATGGATGGATGGAGGGAGGGATAGATAGATGGAGGGATGGATAGATGGAGGGATGGATGGATGGAGGGAGGGATGGATGGAGGGATGGAGGGAGAGAAGGATAGATGGATGGATGGAGGGAGGGATAGATAGATGGAGGGATGGATAGATGGAGGGATGGATGGATGGAGGGAGAGAAGGATAGATAGATGGAGGGAGGGATGGATGGAGGGATGGAGGGAGAGAAGGATAGATGGATGGATGGAGGGAGGGATGGATAGATGGAGGGATGGAGAGAAGGATAGATGGATGGATGGAGGGAGGGAGGGATGGATGGAGGGAGAGATGGATAGATGGAAGGAGGGAGGGAGAGAGGGATAGATGGAGGGATGGATGGATGGATGGATGGATAGATGGATGTAAGACTGGTTCTAGAAGTACCACTGAGAGCACCTGGTAAGTGGCTGGATGGGAGGAGGGAAGAAGAGAACTCTAAGGTTTGAAAGATGGAAGCTTGGGAGGATGACAGTAGCACAAGCAGAAATGATGAAGATAAAAGGAGAAGCAGGTTTAGCAGGAAAAGGCCCTATGCTGAATTTGGGACACAGTCGAGTGAACTATGTCACTGCTCCTTTTCCACCCCATCATTGGTATTATTAATAATAGCTCATATATGCGAGCTGTGATACATTTATTTATGTTGGATGATTTATGGTCACAAAGCCTTTTCATAACCATCATTTCATCTGATACTCACAACCCTATGACACACTTATTATTATGCCTTTTTAAAAATCAAGAAACTGAATCTCAGAGAGATCCCAGAATAGGAATAAGAAAAAAACTTTTATTGTTTCCAAGTGGCTTTCCCCATGACTACACCGTGAGGCAGGCAATGCAAGTATTATCATCCCCCTCTTACAGCTGAGGAAAAAGGCTTCCAGGGTGAAATGAATGGCTTGTGTAAGGTCACATGGTTAGTGAATGGTGGGCCTAGAACTGGAACCAAGAGAAGTCCAACAATCTTTCTAACATACTGCACACTGTCTTTCTTCCCACACAATCACTCCCCTCACCTGAGCTGAACTGCATTAAGCTGAAACTTGGTGGCATTCAGCATCAGTGCTGGCTTCTGTTCCTTGAAGACTCCCCTGTGTGCATCTGAACACGTCTGTGTTCTGTCTCGATGTTCTCCCCCCTCCAGTGCTTAGCACACAATGCTTGGCATACGGTGTGTGTGCTCAATACGTGCTGGGATGCTCAACTGCATCCCAAGGCCAGGGCTACTGGCACTCACAGGAAGTGGTAGGAAAATCACAAGTTTGGCAATGCCTGATGCTTCAGACCTAACAAGCAGAGGGCACTATATGTTAAAGAGCAAAAGCACTGGGGTTGCAGTGGAAAATATCATACCCAGCAAAGTTAAACATAATCCTGAATGAAAAGAAATGGCCATTTGGTCAACTGGCAGACTTTCAGGATTTTGTAAAAAAACCAAAAAACAAAAAACAAAAAACCTCTGAACTTAACAGAAAATTTGACCTGTAAGATCTAAGAGAAATATAAAGTAGATATCAAAGACTGATTACAAGGGGCTCAATAAGGACAGACTGTTTCCTTTTTATATGAGGAAATATAGGCTTTCTTGAAATGGAAATTTACTGCTGTGATTTTGCATCCCTTCAGTACAGTTGAGTTTTTTCCTTCTTAGACATGGAAGGGCTGGAAGGTCTCCTTCTCCAGAATCTTCCTTTTATCTCATCTGTGTGTTTTTACTGTAGATTTGGGCATTTTGACATTTTGTCCTGTTTTCATGTCACTATGACCATGTTTTTACTGTTCAATTACATCAAATTGTTAGTCTAATATAACAAGCCTTTTC